ACTTAATGGACCGAAACATTTCTTACCATTAAAAATATTTTTCTCCTCTTAACATTGAAATATTTTATTTTATTTATCTTATTCCAACTAGACTTCTACAGTAAAAGAACTACTATTTAAGCCTCTGGCGAGGAAGGGAGGAGGAGGAGGGGAGGGGGGGGGGGCGAGAAACCCCCCTGGATCCGCCATTGTTTCACCAAGCAATTGCATTTATCTGCGAGTTCATAAGGATCGCATTAAACATAAGTCAGCTTCGAGAAGACCACAGTGTTCCACCGCGATATCTCGGAGAAAAAAATTCAAATGAGTTTGACATACGATGTGAACATCTGAGCCGAACAAAGTGTACACATTGGCGGATGGATTCACATGATTGGCAAAAATATGCAAATATGCGAAGCAAAATGATCACACATACACATATAAACAAAAATTTTTGTGTTACAATTTCACTTTTTGCTAAGTTTCCAGCCGCACTTGGTTACGTCACTGAAATGGTATTTCGATTATTTCATTGCCTAATTTTGGATGAAGATTCCGATGGCTGAAGATGGGTGAAGCAAAAATTCCGATCCGACAATTGTTCTCAGCTTAAATCCATGCTGCAGGGACACGAAAACAATCGGGGCTATCAGTGTGGGTATCCCATGTTAGTGATGTTGCTGAGATGTCCTCACAAACTAAGTGTAGAACTGTGCCAGTGCCGTAGAGAGCCTGCGAAAAGTCGACCAAGAAGCCGTTACAAAAAAAAGTATACTTTGCATTGAAAGAAGATACACAGTAGATGTGCTGCCAGTGCTTCTGAACCTGAGGCAGAAGGACTGGTGGTGTAGTGATAAAACGTTGCATTGAGACGTGAAGAGGAGTGGTTCGATTCCTTCCCGGTCCAGAACAATTTTCGAGAAAGGACTTGGTTCATGTCAGCCAGGTTCTTCGATCTTGGATAGCCTTTTGCAATTATTATGGTATTCCCACAGGTACCACTGCAACGTCATCCAGCAAAATGAGTATCCTGTCTTGCATATTGGATGACGGTATTCACTTCTCCATCACTCAATTTTGAACCTTCCCTCACGGCTACTTTTTTTAGCACTTCTTGTTTAGGTAAACCAGGAACTTTATTAAATAAAAAAAACAAATTACTGTAAGAGATGGAGAAACTTGAAAATAGTCCGAGTGATAACACGTACCTCAGTAAAAACTTCCTGGTAACGTTGTCGACTGCCCCCTATTTCAAGTAATTGGAGGCGTTTTTGACTTCCTGGCGTATGCGACTACCAATTTGCCATCAAAACGTAGAGGGATTGGTTGTTCCGCTGAAAAAGTCAAACAAAGGTTTTACTTAAATTATTTTTTGTGCAGTTTAAAACGTCTGGAAAAACAAAAAGCTACTCTTAGGTTAATTCGCCAAAACGTTTGAATCGTACGACGAATGTCACATTAGAGCCACATTCTGGTGTGACCGACACATCACCTCTCCATACTGATTTTGCGTCCGTTGCATCCATCGATAGTTTTTTCGATTCGCCAAACAACACGAAACCGACCTCAAAACTATCGCCTGAATGTGCCCTGTGAATTTCTCGTTTCACACTTTTGAATTTACTTAATTATTCAAGAATAATGTTTTTTTTCAAAGAAGAAACGACATTTGAGAAAGATTTTATTAAAATTAAATTTAAAGTACGAAACAGAAATGTTTCAGTCCATCAAGTCGTATATATTCGTATTTAGCAAATAAAAACTCGTGGACTACTAGCAGAAGTTGGGACCTACTGGCCTTGACAGCTTCTCTTGCCTCTTCCTTATTTCTCTTTGCCCTGTTTTTACCTCAAATAGTTTCATTGTAAATAGATTACTTAAGTAGAATATAAATTCCTCTTTAAAAGACAAACAAAAATTAGGTAAAGGTGAGGAAGCAGAGAGAAAAAATATGAAGGGCTTGTGAATTTTTTT